AAAAAATGATGTGATGTTCGCTTTTAATTATTGCCTTTAACCAGCAGCAATATTGTCAGAGATATTGACATTAGTTGCGAATAACACTTGGTTAGCCAGAGCTATCCAGGTGGGCATTCAGAATACAGTTTGGTGGGCTGGGATACTTTGGTCAAACTTGGCCCACCCAAGGCCACCCCAATGCCATGTAAAGTTTCAGTCTATAATAAAGATTGCTTAGAAAATCAACAGCCCCATCTGGTCCCATTTGTTTGTGGAATCAGCTTTGGATTCAATCGGTGCCACTGAGGACTGCAGCCAATGAGCCAATGAGGGACAATGCTCCCCCCACGCATGTACACACACACACACACACACACACACACACACACACACACACACACACATACATTATGAAGAGTTACACCTTTATGGTGTAGATTTTTATTTTTTTGCATGTTTTTCCAGTGATCATTTTGCACTCTAAGCACAGGGATGAAATTGGCATTGCTATCTTCAGGTAAAATGAAATGAAATGAAAATGAAAATAAAAACTTGGACTATCATTTCAGTACTGCACTAATCAAAGTACTCACAGTGATATTAATGCCTCCAAACAAAAATCCCAATGGAGCTGTGAAGACTAAGCACAGCACAGAGCATGAAAAATGAAGTAAAGTAAGTAAAATATTAGGAGCAAATACTTATTCAGCTTTAGTAGAGGTTCTGGCATTCCTCAGTACATCTGAGTCGACTCCTCTCAGTATTTTAATCACACACACTAAAAACACTGAAATCTAGTTAAACAAATGAGTAGTATCTTCCATTTAACCTTAGTCCTAAGGATACGGCATGTTTGGCTGAATCTTTTCTGCACTTCTTCTTTTGGGATCACATCAATTTTAAGTAGGTTTCCAATTCTGGCACATTGAAAAGGGCACTGTAACAGCTGAGGATGCACAGTAAATGCTTGTTGGTTATTAGAGAAATTGTTCTGCTGTCCTCGATCTTGGTTTTAGTTGCTACGTGACTTTGATCTTTTGCAATATAACTGAGAAAATAATGCTCTGGAACACCAGCGTTTTTTTTTTTTTTAAACATTTTGGCCTCCCCTTTGTTCATTTTCTAATATGCCACATGTAATCCAATAGTATGAACCTTGAAGTCAGTTGAGATTCAATGGGGGTACGTTTCTTTCCAGTATCCAAGGCCAGGCATAGCAACGCAAACAACCATCTCAAAGTTCACGCAAGGAAAATGGATGTTTAAAAATAAAATACTGAACTAAAGTAAATAATTTGTTTTTGTGAAGAACAGCTATAATTAACTGCAATATAACATTAAATTACCAATTTCCACCAGTGACAAGCTTGAAAAAAGAGCCAATATTTTCAAGTTTACAACACATGCTGGGCCGTGACAGTTCCCTTTAAAGCCACCCCAGATCACACCTGAACCACCACCATACTTGACAGCTGTAAAACCACGCCTCCAGCCATCCAGCTCGCTGGTCTACAAAGACCCGGACTGCAGTTCGCCCCGTTATTCAATGACCACCTGCACATGTTGTTCATTTCCACTGTGCGGTAGCAGTATGCTATTTAAGACCAAGCTTCGCACTCAGCCTTTGCAAAGTCTTGTCAGTACATGCCTGTGCTGTATTCCGAGTCTTGTATGGACGTACTTTCCGCATGTCATGTGTATTATTCTCAATATTTAACTAAGTGCCATTTTTTGTTTTATACTAGCACTTTATTTAAAGGAACCTTGCTTCCTTTTTGTTTTCCTATTTGTAATAATTGTTACTGCAGCCACAGCCCAGAGTCTGTTTTACTAATTGTGTTAAGGAACCTGCTTTCCATTTTGTTTTGTATTGCAATGTTTGTGCCTTCTGTTGTGTAGTAGGCGTAATAAATACAACCAAGTCCATCCTTGCTCTTGAGTCAAGTCCTTAACTTCCTGTTCTCCGTGCATCTGAACTGCACACGAAGCACAACCGTTACAACAGTGGATGCTGTACATGCTGGCATCATCTTTTCTTGAGGAGTTTGGTCAAAAAATTTCCATTCATTTTCAATTCATAAGTGCAGAGTACCTCTTTCCAGTCCTATGATACTGAAAATGTATTCCACGCCACAAAAATACCAAAGGCCTGAAAATTCTTCCTGGGCATAATATGGTGAAAAGATCGTGTTACGGCATTGCACGGGTGTCAACAAGTAAAATATTTTATTCAACAGAGGACATACTTTCCTGAAAAATGCTGAATGCTGCACGACGGCTCCTCAAACTGAGCTGAAAAACATTCACAGCACCTGGTCACTTCCCTCATTCAGCAGGATCACATGAAAATCACTTGATGAAAGAAGCTGAATAGACATCCATGATTCACATCTCCCATAAGCCCTGACCTAATTACCATATTGACAGCAACGGACTCTGCTGTTTCCTGCATCTCACTTCACTGGATTAGGGCTACACCGGCAGAGGAAGACATTTTTCTAATATTTAAAGAATGTTATTTTCTTAGGTAAAATTGCTTCTGCTTTAATCCCCAAAAAAGTTATGGAGTTGGCTGTTTCTATGTGCTCCTGCGGCAAAGCTGCCGCTGTGTTGATCAAATGCAGAACAGAATAGGTGTGAAGATATTTTGTGGAAATTGAGCCGGCTCAAAATTGTTTCGCACATTGCTGATCCCGGGGATTCTGGGCCATAATGCAGTTTTGGTACAGAATACCCCAGTCACATAAAACCTGATCATCTGAGCCTGTGTGAAATTTCATAAAATCCCCACCGTACATCGATAAATTGTCTCTCACTAGTACCAGCGATAAATCTCCTTTCAAAATAGTTTCAATGTTTAATGCAGCCAAATACAACTCACAGGTATGGCATCCACTCTGATCAGTCCTGCTTTTGAATAAAATTTTTCTGACTTATCTCATTTCTATAAATCTGCATTAATTTTTAATAAACCTTTCCATTTTTCTTGTCTTCAGGCCAGTGTTTATGAATTGGAACTGAAGCCAAATGAAACGTCACTTGCTATTACAACGGAGAAGATTAAATAAGGGAATTAAAACCACCATCTTTCTGTTCATCAAACGTTCCAAAGGTTTGTTAGCACATTACGCTGGGGGACATGTGACTTGGTAGTAATGTTTGCGGGCATCAGGGAATGATGTTACTCACACAACCAACACACAGCATCACTCAAACAGCATCAGTCAAACAGCAGCACTCAAACTACATAACTCACAGCACTGCATACTCAGGCTACACAGAGCATCACTTACACAGCATAACACATAGCATCATTCACACAGGCTACCCACGGCATCACTCAAACAGCATCGCTGACACAGCACCCCTCAAAACTCCATCAGCCATGGTATCATACACACAGGCTACAGAGACCATCTCTCACACAGCATCATACATGACATCAGTCACACCTGCATCACAGACACAGCACCACTCAAACTGGCTCACACATCGCGCACACCTGCTACATAAAGCATCTCTCACACAGCATCCTACTTGGCGTCAGTCACAAAGACTACACACAACATCAATCAAATGGCATTACTGACACAGCACCACTCAAACTGCATCACTCACTCTATCACACAAACAGGGCTAAACACAGAAATACTCGCAAAGCATTACAGACGTAGCATCACTTACACAGACCGGCTACATCAATGCCTGGCCAAAAACAAAGACAGCTGCATTTACTTGACTTGATTTGGGGATAAATTTGGTTGTATTTCATTCGTAGAGTGCTGCGAGTCCCACTGCATCACAGGGCTCACTCCTATTGCAAGCATACTTCCATTAACAAGCACCATACAGCCATTGATTTTGCTGTCTCACAATAGTACGTGAGCAACTGCTGTCCTCTGCTTTGGACTCATTACTTACAATGAAATTGTGTGCAATTTCCCAGCAGGACATTCAGCCCGCAGAATACCAGCAGCCCTTCTACCACCGTAATTTTGATATACAGTCCACAGACACTGGACGGCATCCACACTAATAATTTACAACAATGGCAGTTAACAAGCTGTGATAGATTGCACTCCCGGGGGATGGTAAGAGTGTTAATGGAAAAGTAGAGAAGGCACCCTTTGGACAGCTTGTCTTGTTAAACAAGACAAAATATCCCATAAAATCAACCTCTGTTTGAAATCTATTGGTTTATACACACCTACCGTTTTTTTTCCGGTATTTTAGGATGCAGGAGAATTCGGTATGCCTTTCAAATTTTAATTTTATGGCTGGAAATGCATGAAATATAGCATGAAGTCAACTAGAAAAAACACAGTTTTTATACTCCCTACAATATTCAAAGCTCAGAATTCACGGCGATGAAAAGCCTCTGTCCTCGTATAAGGCATAATTATGGGACATTTTCCATCATACACAATCCTGCTGTGTGTCTGGCTATGACTGCCCTTCTATAAATAGGCAACCACTCTGCTCTCTCATCTTGCCTGTCCTTGTTCTTTGTGCTTCCCCCAAAATATCATTTCTGGTTGCATGCATCTTTCTAGGGAACTGAGAGTAATGGGGTTAAGCAATGGCACGACATAGCAGTAAACTATTGCAGCAGGAACCCTCCGGAAATTGATTTTCTATATATAAACTTACTTGATTAAATACATGTACAGTGTTCTTATCTTGAGACTACTCTCCATCCCAAGATGTAGATGCAGATGAATAGCATGAACCCCAAACTTCCAGTCACAAAAATACATTCATGGTCCTAATGTTGCACAGAAGGGAAGAGCCATGCTTCAAATTATTTAATTTTTTTTTTTTTCCAAATGTATTGATTGTACATTTCAAGTGTAATCATCCAAATCTACTTTCCATCGATCATGAAAAAAAGATCAATGCACTTACAACAAAAGAATGAAAATTTATGACTGTTACGTTTTTCAATCATTAAACTTTAGTGAATGGATCAAATTTCCCATGTGTTTACCAAATCAGAGGTTAAAAATACTGTATCCAGAGCTGCCGATAGCTCATTCGGTTAAGGCACTGCGTTGCAGGGCAGTAGTGACTATCATGTCGCGGGTTCGAGCCCCGGTCGTACCAACCGGCAGTTGTTTACAGGGTTTCAAATTGGGAAGGGACTGCCGGGAAAGGGAAATAGAATAAATAGCTTTGTTCGTTGCTCAAGCGCCTCCTGTTGGCTAGACGGGTGCTCGTCAGGAAGATTCTAAGCCTGTTCATGTCCGGGTATCCTCTGCCCTCGTTCTGAACTTGCAAAGATTCAACCAATGAGTGTATAAGAAGCAGTGGCTGACAAGGGGTCGCAAACGAGCAAGCCTTGTACATGGTTTACCAATTGGGCATTCCAGATTCGGGTGGGATTGGAGATGCCAAATTAAAAAAAAAAAAAAAATACTGTATCTTTCAACTTGATGAAGCAAGAAGAAAAACTCACTTGTGCATTACATAAGGAAAATATAGAAACATGGCAGTTTTGTTCTGGATGAATAAGGGATTTGACTAAAGTGATATTAATATCAACTGATGATACAAATATGGCTGTTAGTGTCCAGAAATGTCAACTTTCAATTGTTGGGATTGATAACTAGAATTCAAGTTAAAGAAAACACTGCTTGCTTTAGAAATAACAAACCAACTTTATTATGAACTGACATTTTGATCAGAAGCCCCAATACTCGCTCTTTTCATTCAAAGAAAATGAGGGTAACATTCCGACCATACATGCTCATACACTGTTGTGCAATTAATTTTTATTGGTACCAAAGTTATTTGATCACTTTAGTGAAATAATACAAATTATTGATACTTCATACAAAAATTAAATTTCATTTTCAAATGACAGTTAAAGACATGAGCTAATACATTACAGGCCAAAAGTTTGGGGCCAGCCTCATATTTTTTTAAAAAATCACACATCAACTGTTCCTTCCTTATTTTTTGCACATGAAATGACCTCAATGCATAAAATATAGGAAGCCAATAGGTTTTGGGTGAATTCAAGACTTCAGACCACATTTTAAAGCTGTCTTGACTGATTGATCACTGACCACAATGTTTTATAATTGAGTTCCAATGCCTTTGTGTTACATGATTTTATGTCACTAGGGCGTGAACAATTTTATGTAACAAGAAGGCATGCTGTATAAATGCCTTCCCCAAAACCAAGGGGTCACATTGCACTTGGTGCACCATTAAAAATCTGAGGGTGGCCCCAAACTTTTGGCCTGTAGTGTAAGTATGATCAATCATCAGGCGATGTACTTCCAATACCTGCTGTCTCTTCTCTCATTTGCCACAGTTGCTTTGCATGGTCTTAGGGCTTTTGCTGCTTTGGGCTCTCTAGTGCATTCTGTCCTTGTAAAGCCGCTTTCATGCTGGAAGCGAAACAAATTTTTCTCACGACAGTGTAATGGCCAGTAGTATATGGTGGCCAAGCGCAATGACATAGTGAAAGAGAGTAGCACGAACACAGTACAAACACAGAGAATAATATAGACCAAACGCAAGTACTCGCGCTTCCAAAGGACGTATAATAGTCCGTACCACGGAAGCAAAGCAAGATAAAAAAAAGGGAGAAGAAACTCCAACAATAAGAAGATAGAAAGTCATACAAAACCTGACTTCAGATATCTTCGGCTATAGTGCGAAGCTGAACACAGACACTCTAGCGAAGGAGGCGTGCCGGACATCCTGCTTATATAGATTCTGAGAAAGCGCCGCCCCAGCTCAATCAACCAGCTGGGTAAAGAATTCGATGGCCCAGGAATTCGATATCGTCCCGGGACGAGAGCCGCAAAGAAAAGTCCAAACAACACGCACACCTCACAAACCATGACAGACAGATTATATTAAAAATCAATGCAACGACGCGAATACACGCGAACGCGTGTATCTACAGAACAAGATCTACAGAGTTCTCAAAAGACCTTTAGGACCCCTGTGCTGTAGAAAACTGTTGTCAAAACAATTTAAAAATAATCATATAATATATTCAACCAATAAAAACAATACGACGAGAAATATTAACAAAAATAAGAAAACTTATTGACATTTTGGTCCATAATAACTTTCATTGTTTTAGCTTTTTATGCCACCAAAATGGGTTTGAAGAGAAACATTTGAGCTGCGCTTGAAGTTCAGACTTTCAGCTTCATTTTAAAGCTTTTGTCAAAAGTATTGTATGAACCATGAAGAAATTACATGCATTTTATGCACAGCCCCCTCAGTTCTACGGACTCAAAAGTAATTGGACAAACTAACATAATCATCAATTAAATTTGTCATTTTCAATACTAGGTGGCAAACTCTCAGTAGTCAATGACTGCCTGAAGTCTGGAACCCAGAAGCATTACTAGACACAGGTTTACTTCCTCAGTGATGCTCTGCCAGGCCTTCACTGCTGCTGTCATCACTTCTTTTGTTGTTGTGGCATTTTGCCTTATGTTTTGATTTCAGCAAATTAAATTTACCCTCAGGTGGGTGCAGGTCTTGTGATTGACTGGCCTATTGCAGAACATTCCACTTCTTTGAGCTAAAAATCTTAGATTGCGTTTAAGGATAGGCATCCAAGTCATCATCCATCTGCATCGTGAAGAGTCGTTCTATGAGTTTCAGAGCATTAGGCTGAGGTATAATGTAGCTTAATACAATTACGAATGAATCTTCCTGCTTTAGTCAACGATCATGTAGAATAGTTGTTATTGAAGAAAAGGTAGAGTAAAATGAGTACTACGGTTCTGTCATGGCAATGGACTGTTCACCACTCAGAGAACATGCCGACATTAGGGCACTGAACCAATCATGCCGATCTGGCACACTCAGATTCTACACCCCAGAGTCTCATTTAGCTCAACACTGAACTCAATTTTCTTTCCTTCAACAGGTTTTCTTCTTTGATAGAGCACGGCAAATAAGAACCTGCAAACTGGTTTCCATGGCACAAAGCTTGAATTGCCCTTTGCATTGTCTTAGGTCTGAGATTTTGTGCACAAAAAATCATGACAGAATTAAACTTTTGTCTCACTCTGTGTGTATGAGAAGTATGATGTAAGTACAGGGCCAGATTTACCATAGGGCCAGTTGGGCCCGGGCCTAAGGCCTCCACACTGAGGGGGCCCCCACAAAAAAATATATATATATATATATTATTATGTGGCTGTCTCGCATGAAACGGAAAAACTGGCAGCTTTCAGCTCGATCGGTTCTTTGCTCCGAGCACTTTCTTCCAAACCTTCTTTGAAACTGACACGAAACTTTTGTCACATTGTGGAGTGGTTTGAAAAGTCCGACTGAAAATCAACTGCGGTACCATCAGTGTTTTTCTACGATAGGCCATTGCTTGTGCGCAAAAAGACTAGAAAATAGTTTCGTTCCTATGGTCTATGTGAGCACATAAAGATAGGGTAGTTTATTTTCCATAATCTGATCACCTGTGCCCAGAAATTATGGTGAAAAGTGCCATTTTAGTCCCTTTTCGGCCCCTTTTTAGTACCCCAGGGGCCAGTAAACATAATAAAAACCACCCTACCGTAATGTACTTGCAAAGACCTTCAATTTGATACGTGTTGACATGTTTCGATGACATCAATTTTTTTACCCCTTCCTTATTTCCATTAGACCCTAAAAGGGTCTCAATTTCAGAGGTAACTGCAGGGTTTCACATGGAAAACTTTTTACATGGTGATTAGGGGCCCAAAGCCTACACAATTGTACATAGAACAAGTAGACCTGCCGATATTGGAACGAACCTGGTAGATACAGCGCACAGGCAATGGCCTACGAGTTAGACCCAGTGACAAAAACGTTTGAGCGAGAAACGCCAAAGAAAGCGAGTGATCGGTATGTGTATTTGGGAAAGACTTCTGCATCCTACCCAGGGCCGGATTTACCTTCGTATGCATTCAGAACTTTTTTCGGCTTAACTTGACATTTGGGTACCGTGAGAAAAACTCGGGTGAGTATAATTGTCAAGTGCACATCCAGTCAAGAACATTTGAGGGCGGCTTCACAGACATGGTTTTTGCACAGTCCTGGACTAAGCAGAGTTTTGTATAGAGATTTTCTGTTGAAAATTGAATTTTGTCCTGGATTAAGCTTAATCTGTGTCTGTGAAACTGGCCCTTGGTTTCGTTGCTAGTGCTGCTATACATGGTTGCTAATAGCATCTAACGGCGGAAGCCAATACAAGTTAATGGGATGTATCATGTATAATTCGCTAGCTGGGATGCTAACGCTTTTAGCCATTAAAATAATACATTGAAGCGTCCACGACAACAGTAACTTGTGTTACTTTTTACCTTACTGGCCAAAAGCGTTTACATACTAGCTAACAAATTATTCATCCAATTGTCTTGTAGTTATTTGCGAAAGTTGACGTTTGTCAATTAACGGAGCAGTTGTGGGTTAAAACAGTTTGTAGTGGCAAATGGGTAGATAACATGCTAGCCAGCCACCAGCAGAAGTCGCGAGTCTAGCGGCAACATATCGGGTTAGCCGTGAACAATTTGCGACGGGAATAAGATCTTACACTCTTGCAAAATTATTTATTTATTTTTATTTATTTATTTAAAAGGCAAGGAAAAGGCATTTCTTAGTTCCGCCGTTTTATTTAATTTTATTTATGTTCTTTTGTTTTACTTATCTTTAAGTTTCAGTTCAATATCTAATTTATTCTGTTTTTTTTTATTTAAAGACAATATAAAAATATATTTTTATATACTGACTGTATACACGTGTATGTTGGCAGACTCTTCTCCATATCGTTTTCATTTTAGTTATGCTGACAATCTTCTTGGAGCTATTGTTCTTGTATTCCTTTTTAACAATTCAAATTAAAATTGATCGTTCGAATGATTGCGTGTGAGACCTCTGACTCACTGTCCCTGAGTAGGTGTCAAAATAAACCTCAATTTATCTAAGTATTGCTTGAAAGTCCTTCTGGGTGGAATACACTTCACGTGTGAAAGGGGGACGCCACTATCATCGCCATACTTTCCGCCACCCGGGTAGATCTGCTTTACGGCGAGTTCGGGGCCCCACATTAAAGCTGGCCCACGGCCCCCACTAAGGTAAATCCGACCCTG